CTATTATGGGAATTTTGGGAATGAATGGTAGATGGGAACTCTGTATCTTTCTGGTAGGAAGAATAGATGGTGTTTTTCTTGAGGTGCCCTAATGAGATAGAATAGGCATCTGTAGAGACCTGGCCCTACACTGTCTTAGGAAAAGGAAGGAGAGAACCTTCAGCTTTTGGAGCAAGGGTACATGTCGTAGTGCAAGAAAAAGCATGAAGTCACTATGAATCATTTGAAGTGGGCATTCTTTTACTTTCTTAAACGGGAGAAACGATTACTTTGCTATTCTTCAACTAATTTTGTTGTATTTTAGGAGACTTGTGTCATTCAGAGAACTCGGAAGTGTTCATTCTCCTCCCACTCAATCTGTGGAGTAGATGGGAAGGCTTGAAAAGGCTCCCAGAGACCCATTTTCTGCTGCCAGTGGGTGCTGTGGGAAGAACGCCATGCAGTGGGACCAGAAGGCAGAAATGCTTCGGAAGTAGGAGCCACCCTGGCATGGAGTGCCGTGGGGGCCTGAGTGGGGTTCAGGGCCTGAGGATGTGGACTCTGGCCCCAGATACAGTGGAATATGTTCTGGTAAACACAGAAGTCATTGTCAATGTCAAACAAAAAAAAAGAGGATTCATTCTGCATAGTAGAAAGTCATCTTAAATAATGAATGCAGTGTGATTTAAACCAAAACATTGCACAAAAGAAAATTACTCTGATTTGTTTCTATCCCAAGTTTGTTAGCCTCAAGGCCAGCTGGGGTTTTTTGTCCTTGGAATTTATGGAAGGAGGGGATGGAGTCTGCTGTGGGCTCAGGAAAGTAAGGTGGGCTGGGTGGCAGGGAATTTGGGATATGCTTAGAAGGAAGTTGGAAGGTTCTGAAACACCACATGGGGAAATAGTGATCAGCCAGTCTAACTAGTGACTGAAAGTCACCTTGAAGTGTAAAAACACTAGCAAAAACTCAAAATAGTATTGACAAAATGATGGTTCTTGCACATAGTAGGTAGGAAGGAAAGCAATGTGAGAATCTGATGTGAGCTGTGAAGGCCAGCAGGATGGTGTGGGCCCAGAGTGGGTTGGGTGGTTGGGAATGATGTTTGGTAGCCATGGTGATGGGTAGGTGACTCTCACAGTAGCCTATGCCATGCTGTTGTTGGGATGAGGTAGAGGAGTACATGTAAGAGGGCCTTGGTGGAGCTTCCAGGAGCAATGCTTGTCATGTGTTTTGGAGAGCTGCATTGACATGTCTTGTTTTAGGTTAGGATGTAAGAGCGTTGTAGATTTCCTAAAAACTGAGAGCTACATGAAGTTGCCTCTTGTATTTTTATCCCCTTTTACTGCCTGCATACAGTTGCTTGTGGCTTAACCTCTTAGGTTGAAGGGTATGCCTGAGCATCTCCTTGTGTTGAAGGAGAGTGAACTTCTGCTGGGCCGTGCAGTCAGGAAGACTGACCTTGCACAGCTGTGGCTTGCTCTGGAGTTGGCTTTCTGAAGGTTGCCTGGTGACATTGGTAACCTTGAGGCGGATAGCACTCCAGGCTGGTCCATTCAAGGAACCAGCCTACTTCAACCTGTTGCCTTTGCGGTTATTAGCATTTACTTTGCCATTCTTGGCTTGGAATTACTCAGTCCATTTCATGACCACAGAGTGGAAATCAGCAAAGAAGCGCTCAGTTGGCTTGGCTGGTCTCCAGGTATTGCATTGATCTGCAGTCCTCCCTGCTTGGAGTTGTTCCTCTAAGGCCATCTTGATGACTGGGTCGGTCTATAGCCTTTATTCTGCTGGAGGATATGGAAGACACACATCTGGGGGACCCCTGTCATTTACCTGGAGGTGCTGTCACTAAGTCATGGTATTCTAGGGACCAGGATGAGGAGTAGAGCTCCCTACACTGACCTGGTTATGATATTCTAGGGAGTGGGGTGAGGAGCAGAGCTCTGTGTGCTGTTCTGCTTGTTGATATGCTGTTTTGTTTTTAATTTAATATGAAAAGGAGTTAGGTGATGGTGTCTTTTTTTTAAGATTTATTTTTATTATTTTTTTTTTTTATTGGAAAGGTAGATATACAGAGAGGAGAGACAGAGAGGAAGATCTTCCGTCCGAGGATTCACTCCCCAAGTGAGCGCAACGGCCGATGCTATGCCGATCCGAAGCCAGGAGCCTCTTCCGGGTCTCCCGCGCAGGTGCAGGGTCCCAAAGCCTTGGGCCGTCCTCGACTACTTTCCCGGGCCACAGGCAGGGAGCTGGAAGGGAAGCGGGGTAGCCGGGATAGAACTGGCGCCCATATGGGATCCCGGGCGTGCAAGGTGAGGACCTTAACCACTTGCGCCACTGCGCTGGGCCCGAGTGATGGTGTCTTAATGTGATGCAGAGAGTAGATAAATGTACTAGGAATGTGTAACTCCGGGCCTGGCGCAGTAGCCTGGCAGCTTAAATCCTCACCTTGCAAGTGCCTGGATCCCATATGGCCGCTGATTCTAATCCTAGTGGCCCTGCTTTTCATCCAGCTCCCTGCTTGTGGCCTGGGAAAGCAGTTGAGGACTGCCCAAAGCCTTGGAACCCTGCACCCGCATGGGAGATCCAGAAGAGGCTCTGGGCTCCTGACTTCGGATCAGCTCAATTCCAGCCATTGTAGCCACTTGGGAAGTGAATCATCGGATGGAATGTCTTTCTCTCTGTTTCTCCTCATCTCTGTATATCTGACTTTGCAATTTAAAAAAAAAAATGAGTAACTCCTCTAAAACCTGGGCCCAGAATTGGAAACCTTGAAGGGATTGTTCTGGAGCCTCCAAGGGAAACATTCCCATTTTCAGCTGGGCAGTGCAGTCACCTGGGAGAGGCTTTTGAGCAATGCCTGGTTTTCCTGAGATTTTGCTGTGGTGAGTCTGGAACCCAGGAGTCATTCATTCATTCATTCATTCATTCCGTGAGTTAGTTCTCCAGAGATTCTAGTTTCCACCCAAATTTGGGAACTTGCGCAGCAGTTTTAGATCCAGAGACCTCTGCCCCCTCCTCAGATGAATGCTGCCTTGTTTCCTCGTGCTGGTCTTGAACCCTCAGCCATGACCATGGCCCTGTATTTAGCCCTTTTCCAGCTTGTCCTTGGAGAGTGCTTTCCCTGGACTGCTAGGCCTGCTTCAGCGCCGCACACTCACCTCTTACTTGCCTGTGATGAAAAAGAAGAGCTCCACTTACATGTTCTGATACTCTGAGACATTTTGTCATAAAACTTTCTGCTTAACGCTGTAATACGCAGAAAATCTGGCCACATAAGTCTAGGCCCACAATGGAGAGGATTGGGCAGTCCTGTGACTGCCGTGAGGAAGACCCTTTATTTAGTTCTCTGAAATAGCACGAAAGGCTTGGTGTTTGTAGCGCCGTGCCCCTCAGGCCCTGCACACTCATGGGCAGTGCCGGCTGTGTTTGAATCACAGGGCTGGGCCAGCGACATTCTTGGGGGAGGGTACTGGGTGAAATGCACCTCCAGGGCACTTGGGGGTCTGAACATCAACTCTCAGCAGCTATTGAGTCATGTGGCACGAGGCAGGGGATTTTAATACTTGTATTGGGAGGATCTGGACAAGACCCCACAGGAGGGGATGTTCTTCCTTGAGTGTTGTTGCCTTTGTTAGCCTGTGATCCATGTTCCCTCCATGCTCACCCCCACTCCCAGTGCCTTGATCTGCTCTCATCCACGCCAGGAAGCATCTTCCCACTTCTCTGCCATGAGGTGACCCCATCCACTGTTCTCACAGTAACGCCATTTCCAGATCCCTGCACTTACCCATTGTTCTAGAATTGGAGTATCTGAATAATTTTTTTTCATATAGCTTAAATTAATGGGCTTGTCCATTCCTGCATGTCTGTCGCCTGTGTGCACTGTCTGGTGTATACTATGGTTCAGTAACTGTTGAGTGAATGAATTGATGAATTCTTTAAGGAGGTGATAGAAATAACTCCATCAAGCTCTTACAGCTGATATTGCTCGTTTATTTCAGTGCTAGTTAGTGCTAGATGCGTATTAAGGGAGATTTTTCTAGCACTATGAGTGTTCCAAACAGTTTGAAACATTGATTGAACACTTTTGAGGTGATAGATGCATGGTATTTGTGAGATTCTTCTGTTTGCTTTTTTAGAACAAAGTAGTGAAATTACTGGAAATGTCACATTGGGAAACAAACCGTTTGGGAACCTGGTATAATTTATTCTTCAATTCTTTGGTGACATAGGAAATTATGGCAAGCAGTTTAGTAGAAAATGGGTAGGATGCTCTGACTGTAGTTCCTTGAAGTTACTACTTCTCTGAAAGCTAACTGTAGGGCCAGGCATTTGGTGCACTGCTTGTTGGCTGCTTGGAACTCACTGATTCACTGGCTGAATGGCCACAATAGCCATGTTTGGGTGAGGCTTAAGCCAGGACCTTCTGCATCCCCCTATACGTGCAGGGGTTCAAATATTTGGGCTATCCTTTGCTGTTTTCCCATCCTCTGCTGCTATGGAAGAACTGGATCAGAAGTAGAACACACAGAATTTGAACTGGTGCCCATAAAGGATGCTGACATCCCAGGCAGTGGCTTAAGTTGCTATGCCACAGTGCTGGCTGATGTTTGATTGCTTCAAAGAAAAGTGGGAAGTCTGGGTTTTTGTATGATAGCTCTGATTTTTAAGTTTTGGTTCAGATTTTCTGAACATATCTTGCAGATGAACTGTTAACATCTCTTTCCAAGCTAAATGTGACTTATTGTGTTTTCACTTTATGCTTCCTGCTAAAGATCTCTAAAGCTCCTTTCTGCCCAGGATCCTATAATTCTAGGGGCTCTTGCAGCTGGTTAGTTGAAGATTCTGATTCTAGTCTGGAAGACCAGGGAGAGGAAGGGAGTCAGGCTGGAGGAGGAGGATGGGTTTTTGAGCCTACGTGTAGTGCCTGGCAGTTGGTGTTTGGATGGGTCCCCTTGGGGGCAGGCTGTGGGATGCTGTGACTAACACCAGGTGTTTTGTGTGTTTGACATTGCAGGAATTGGCAGCCATTGGAAGAGTCTGTGAAACCCTCTCGGTGCCCGGAGCTCCAGGACCAATGCATCTACCCAGCATCTTCAGCCACTGGTGAATATGCATATATATATATATATTTTTTTTTTTTTTAATTAACTTTTGTGAAAGAGAAACTCCTCAGTGGGCTGTAGGATGGGATTTGCAGAGAGCCATGCTGTCCTTTCTGTAGAGACCGAAGCATGCTAGGCCGGGACTGTGCACATCTGGGTTCTGGGAGTCGACTTGGTTTTGCCACTTCCACCAGGGCATCTTAGGTGAGCTGTTCGACCTCATAGGGCCCCAGACAGAGAAATGCATCCCACCCTGATGACATCACAGGGTTGCTTGCTTTGAAGGGCGGAAGAGATAATGTAACCGAGAGTGCTGACAAGGGAGAGAAGTGCTGGGCAAATATAAAGGAAAACCGTTTGGCTCTGAGACCTGCCGTTCCTCCCAACTCTGAGCATACTTTTTCAAGCAGAAGCATCCATGCTGTAGGAAGAAAGGCCTGCCAAGCTCAGCTCACGTGAGCTGATCAGCAAGCAACTGAAGGGTTCCTGCCCCTGTTTTTGCGTGGTTTCTCGCTGTCTTCATCTGCTAGTGTTTGAGAGGGCATTTGAACCTGTGACTTCTGAGCTGAGCAAGCCACTAAGATGGGAATATGTGTGTGTGTGTTGGAAACCTAGGTTTTGCATCCCTGTTTCATGAGACCTCCAGAGTGATTCTTGGAAGAGATTTGCATTTTCTGTTTTTAATTTCCTGTCATTTAGCTGCCATTTTCTTAAAAAATGGTATGCCACAGTCACCTGTTTTACCTGAGATGTGATAATTTGTTACCAAGTGCTCTTTCTTTCCTCCTCCACTGCCCCCAAAAGAAGCCTGACTACTCACCACAGCAGGTCCTCATCCCACCTCCGTGGAAGTGGGTAGAGGCCAGGTATGCTGTGAACAGGTTCCAACCTCATGAGGTTGGAGGGCTGGTGTGCAGGGTGTGCAGTGTCCAGGGAAATGACCTGTGAGGCCGGGCAGTGTTGTGTTCTGAGTGACCTGCTGCCAGCCGCTCTGTAGAGAAGAGCTGGCCTGTTTCACACTGGCTCCCTATGCAGCTGCCATCCTGGGGATTGGGTGTTCCTGTGACCCAGTAAGACAATTGCCAGTGGCCTTGCTGCTTGGGAAGCTTGTGAGGCTCAGGCTGTCAGGCTGGGACAGAAGGAGAGTCAGGATCAGGGTTAGGGATCCACCTAGGTCCCCAGGAGGTTGGCTGCCCTGTCTTCCCTAAGGAAATGTGGTGGAATTTCCCTAAGGAAATTCAGGGTCCCACGGTGTAACAGGACAGGAAGAGCCCTGGGGTGGGTGTCCTCAGGTGGCAGGGAGCTGTCCTTGCATCAGGTACATATTGATGTCAGGCACTGCTCTGGGCTTTGGGGATTCAGTGGTCAGCAGGCAGTGCCCTTTGGACACTGGAGTGGAGTGGAGATGACAGATGAGATTGTGAGCTCCACAAGGACAGTGATATTGCTCACTTTGCTTTCTGTGGAATCCCTGACAGCATCTGCTGGGTGCTCACTCAGTGTCAATTTAGGAAAGAAGCCAAGGGGTAATGAGTATGCTTTTGGGTATGAATAAATGCCGTAAGAAAACAAGTTGAGGGTTTTTTTCCCTCTTTGTCTTTAAAAAAAATTTTTTTTAAAGATTTATTTTATTTTTATTGGAAAGAGACATACAGAGAGGAGGAGAGACAGAGAGGAAGATCTTTCATCCGATGATTCACTCCCCAAGTGACTGTAACGGCTGGTGCTATGCCAATCTGAAGCCAGGATCCAGGAACTTCTTTCCGGTCTCCCACATAGGTGCAGGGTCCCAAGGCCTTGGGCCGTCCTCAACTGCCTTCCCAGGCCACAAGCAGGGAGCTGGATGGGAAGTGGAGCTGCTAGGACCAGAACTGGTGCCCATATGGGATCCTGGCGCATTGAAGGAGAGGACTTTAGCTTTAGCCACTAGGCCACGGTGCCGGGCCCTCTTTTTAAATTTTATTATTTCATTGAAATTTTATTTTAAATTTTATTATTTCATTTATGTCATAGGCTCTGAGATTCCCCCAGTCCCTTCCCAAACCCTCCCCCCATATTGAATTCCTCCATATTGTTACAATAGTACAGTTCATAACCAGTCATGATTCTTTCATTGTGGGCATGGAGCATGCAGAGTCCAGAATCTTATTGTCCAGATAAATTCAACAGATTCATTGGGAGACCATTCTTGGTCTGAAAGTAGAGCTGGTGGAATACCATCATGGGGCTTTTTTGAAAGAGTGGTCTGAAAAGGGTCTGTGTGTGTGTTTGTAAGAGAGAGAGAGAGAGAGAGAAACAGCTTGATTTGTGCAGTGACCTGAATGGAGCAGAGGAATCTAAAGGGGTATGTGTAGGCGGAGGCAACAGCAAGTGGAAAGAAAGGCTCTTGACGCAGGATGAACTTGGCGTGATGGAGGAACAGGAAGGTGGCCAGTTTGGCTGCACTTGGGCTGGAGGAGGCTATAGGGAGGGAGAGATGTGAAATGACATCATTGTGGTAGGTGGGAGCCAGATCTTGCAGGCTATGGGCGGGAGGCAGCGTGTTACTCAGAGAGTGATGAGACGGATGGAAGAGTCTGAGTGGAACAGCTGAACCTATTGGGGTGGATGCGGGTGTGAGTCAAAGGTGAGTTGGGATGACACTGTTGTTCACTGAGATCAGGAGCAAGGAGGGACCTTCAGAGTTCTGTCGGGAAAGTGCCTGTGAGGAGAGGCAGAGTAGGCTGTGATTGAAAATGGAACCTTTGAGAGTCATCAGCACGTAGATGGTATTTAAAGCTTTAAGACTGTAAGATGAAGAAAAAGAAGGAGGTGTGTAGGCTTTCCACAGAGAAAACAGGGAAGGCAAAGGGTGGATTTAGAGATGAAATCCCTACTGAAGACACCTGCTAATGAATATGGTATAATTCCATTTTATGCAAATATGAATCATACAAATGAGATAATATGATATAAAATAGTAATAAAGCATTGCTTTATATAAAAAGATTGAAATACTGTGACTTTACCAAGTCAAGAGAATCAGTTTCAGGATTGCATAATTGTAAATCTGGTTGCCTGAGTGAATTATAGACTACATCTCTGCCATTGGCATGTGGCAGTGCCTTTGGCTGGCTCACAGAAAGACTAGTATCCTTTGCCAGTAGCCTGTAAACCATGTTTTTTATATGCACTGGAACTTTTATAAGCCAGTTTGGTGACTGTTAAGTTTAATTCACTCTTAATAAATTTCAGATTTTTTTCATGTTGTAATCATTATCATTCTGAAGGTCATTAACTGAAGGGTCACAAAGTGAAAAATATGCTTGAAAATAAGGAGTTTTGTAATGACATGCGATAAAATTTTTAAAAAGAGATTTTTTTTTATTGATTGGAAAGAGAGGACGATACATCCATCTGCTGGCCTACTCCACCAAGTGGCTGCAATGGCCAAAGCTGTACCAAGTGTAAGTCAGGAGCCAGAACTTCCCCTGGGCCTTCCATGTGGATACTGGGAGACCCAAGCACCTAGGCCATCCTTCTCTGCTTTCCCAGGTACATTAGCAGGAGGCTGAATCAGAAATGGAACAGCTCGGTTTTGAACCACTGTGCCACAATTTTAAACTCAAGATGTGATAACATGAAGGGCAAATAGGCATCCTGACTTGCAGAGCCATAATTAATGGGATATTGAGGATATCTCTGAAATATCAGGGATAAGTGCTTTAAGGTCAAAATAACACAATTAGACGACAATGAGATCAGTGCGTTTTGGGGATCACCTGTACCTAAACTTCCATTGCTTGCCATGAGAACTCATTTCTGAATCATACACATTTTCTATCTGTGAGCTTCTGGCACAAGATATAAAGGCTGGATTTGTTCATTGCATAGACAAATGACACCACTGAGCTTCTTCTGTATTCTCACGGGGCTCCTCAGTTTTCCCGTTTCAAGCTTAAGGTGACTTCTTTCATGTTGCTGTGTGCAGTCCCATGGTCCTCTGCCCTCTTCGCACCATGACCAGTCCTGAAGGTTGCTGCCTCCTCCCTCTGACTGCCTCGTGAACTGTTCCATGCAGCTCCCTGCCAAAGGGCTTTGGAATATCTTCAGCATTCCCTTGTTAGGAAACATTTCACTCCCACCACCCCCCTTGGTCTTCTCAGGCCTTTTGTGGAAATGGTGACAAAGGAATGGGAAACTCGCACAGCCGTGGACAGCAGGGTGATAAGCAGGTTTGAATGAAGGGATGGGACACGTCCTCCGTCAACAGACAGCATGCACTTGCTTTTATGTGTATTTTAAGACTCATGGGTTTCAGTGGGACTATCCTGAGGGAAGCTTCTGGAGCATTGAATCTTTGGGAAATGAGCATGGATCATGTAGAGTTCTTGTGTGTAACCAGGGGTTTATGGCAAGCTGAAGTTTTTAGCGCACGGCTTCTTGCGGTGGATCCAATCAGCTCTGGTTCTGTTTGTCTTCTTTTCTTACCAAGGGAAACCTAATTCAGGTCACAAATGAATGAAATTTACTGACATTTGAAAGGTAGGGCTTCTCCCTGCTTTCTTATCAGTGAGTGATTACAGGAATAAAAAAAGAAGCTTTCTTGTGCCCCTGGGGACTTAAAATGGTGGGGCATTAAAAAATGGTGGTGTTGGGCCCGTCGCGGTGGCGCAGTGGTTAAGGTCCTCGTCTTGCATGCCCGGGATCCCATATGGGTGCCGGTTCTAATCCTAGCGGCCCCGCTTCCCATCCAGCTCCCTGCCTGTGGCCTGGGAAAGCAGTCGAGGATGCCCCAAAGCTTTGGGACCCTGCACCCGCGTGGGAGGCCTGGAAGAGGCTCCTGGTTTCGGATTGGCTCAGCTCCAGCCATTGCGGTCATTTGGGGAGTGAATCATCGGAAGGAGGATCTTCCTCTCTGTCTCTCCTCTCTGTATATCTGCCTTTCCAATAAAAATAAAATAAATCTTTAAAAAAAAATGGTGGTGTTGAGGATGTACATTTGACCTAGTGGTGGCGTGG